CTGGTTCGGCCCGGCTACCTGGGGTTACTGGAGTTCCAGTAGATGGGGTGGCGGAGGCTGGAGGCCCCCCGCAGAGGGGAGCCGAGGAGCGCGGCCCAGAGGACAGTCCGCAGCAGGGGCAGCAGCCGCATCGCCCCCAGGGTCCGGTCTGGTCGGGTCCGGCGGGTCCCGGCCCGCTTCGCAGTCTGAGCGAGAAAGGTACAAAGTGGAGAGGGGGGGTTGTGGAAAGGGGGGGTGGTGCGGAGACTCCCGGGCCACGCCCCCGGGTAACTTTCCACCAATGAAAACCTGTCTCCGCCTCTGCGCTCGGAGCCAACTTTGGTTAACCCTTTGTGCACCGCGTCGCGCGCCAGGTTAGCCAAAGGTTCTACCGAGGCCGCGCCGCACTGCCACCGGGCGAGAAGGAGGTGGCACTTAAAAACTCCACTAAGAATGATGAAGGGGAAGTCTTGTCTTTCTTGTCTCGTTTTGAGGTAGAAAGCCTTATTAGAAACTTGGGAGACTGGGCGCGGTGGCCGGCACCTGTAGTCCTAGCTCCTGCAGAGGAGGCTCGCTGGAGCCCTGGGGTTTGAGGCAGCCTGGGCAGTTTAGCAAGACCCGGTCTAAAGAGAGAAGGAAGGAAGGAAGGACGTTTGGGAGATTTTAAACGAGCGAGCATACACCCTTCACCCAGATGGGGAAAGTGAGGCACAGCAGGGATCCACCAAGTCTGTCCAGCCACCTTCATGTTCAGCCACCCCCCTTTCTCAGCACATCTAGGGCCACTGAGACGAGAAGGGACAAAGAGCCTTCTCTGGGACACACCTGTCCCCACAGAGCCTTAGGGGGTGTGCTAGATGCCCACTTTGGGGTTGGCGCCTGTCCCTTTCCGTCCCACACCCTCGTTCTGGGCAGGGGGCCCACGCGGCCCCATCCCGAGGACGAAGTGATGAAGTGGTTGCGGCCGGTACAAAGCACCTTTGTTCCCGAGCCCTCAGGTGGGGGCGGGGGAGGGGCGGGAGGCAGGTGCGCGGCCTTGGGATCGTGGGAGCCGCCGCCCGCTCCGCCCCGGCTCCGGGCGCTGAGAATACCAGTTAGAGTCACTTTTCCCAGCCACTGGTGGAGGGTGGGGACGTGGTCCCACAGCTTGGCTGGCTTGTAGATCGACAGCCGTCTCCGGGGACCGGGCAGCATGGGATGCGAGGACTGGGAGACTAGGGGTGGCAACGGGCGAACAGCTCCCCGTGGTACAGGATCACGCTGAGAGTCACCCCAGACTGGGCAGAAACAAGTCGGGAGCCTCCGCGGGACACAGGCTGGTAGACCGCGGCTGGGACTCCCGCCCGCCCAGCAAGCCCTGGTCTGAGGAGGCAGCGTCTCCTGGCGGCCAGACCTGGAAACGCAGGAGGGGCGACCCGGCTTCCCAGAAGGAACCCTGAGACACGCGGTCAAGATCTCTCTTTATTGCAGCAGAACAGAGACAGGCTGGGTGCACCTCCCGCAGCCCCATCCAGCCCCAGTCCCCCACTAGCCCCCGGCTGCCGCTATACCGGCGAGTCATCAGGGTGCTGCTTCACAGCGCCGACGGTCTGGGTTCCCTAAGGCTGGGCATGACAGTGTCCACGCTCGGGCTTCTCCAGTCATTGTGGGGGACCCCAAAGGGGTTCCGCTTCTTTAAGTCCTAAATCCGAGTTGGAGGCAGCGGGACCTCAGGAGAGGTCAGAGGTAGAGCGAGGATGCTGCTGGAGGCGGTGGTGCTGGCCTGGAATCCGGGAGAAAAAAAGGTTGCCCCCTTTCCCAGATCATTCACCTTGTCCACCCATCCTCAGCAACCCCCTCCTCACTTACCTGGAGGGGACCACTGAAGGCATGATTCCAGGCCCTGGGCCAGGCAAGTCACCCGAAGGGCGCCTGCCCTGGGGGTCCGCAGGCAGTGGCTTCCTGGGGGGTGGGGGCTTGGTAGGCCTCTGAGACTGAGAGAGGGAAGGCATGAGCTGGCTTGGTGCGCGTCGTGTTGCCCACCCCCATCGCACTGGTGCTGGGGAGCACCAGCTTGGGGGCAGCACCAGAAATCACCCTTGTCTCCAAACAAACCTGTCACCATTAAAGGAGCCACGGGGACATGTGCCCTCAGGCACAGAGGGGGGCATCTCGCCACGGCCACCAGCACCACAGCCCTAGGTGGGGGAAGAGGCTGTGCCCTTCTCTCCCCCCACTGTTACCTTCGGGCGCCTCACCACTGGGTCAGCGGGCAGAGGGCGCGTGGGGGGATTGGGTCGGTCAGCCAGCTCAGCCTGGACAGAGAGAGGGGAGTGGCTAAGTACAGCCAGGGGCAGTGGGCATGCACAAGTTCCCCAGAGGAGTTCAGAAAAACATGCAAAGGCAGCCGCGGGCAGGGGAGAATGGGGCATGCAGAGGGCTTGGGTGCATGCCAGCAGATACATGCTTCAGCCTGAGCAAGGTGTGAGTCAGCCACGGAATCCCTGACTGACTGCAGTCCCGCCACTCACCACCAGATGGTGGTAGAAACCAAGGCAGGAGGCTCACCCTTTGCGGCTTCTGGGGCTCAGCCTGGGAAGTCCGAGTGACACCTTGGTCACCTAACGGAGAGCACCACTGGCAGGGAGCAGGGATGAGCACTGCAGTTGGGGACCAAGCCTCCCACCTGTTCTGGGCCAGGGCGGGGCCCGGCCCAGATTTACCTGGAGTGTCTTGGGCACAGGGTCAGGCGGCAGCGGCCTGGAGGGGGGGGCCGGAAAGCCGAGAGCACTAACCTGCTGAGAGGCCAGAGGAGTGACAGGCACAGAGTGGGGAGGAGGGGCGGAAAGACAGATGAGGGCAGAGAGGGTTAGTGTCCAGGCAGGGGCAGCCAGGGCCCCAGGGGCACGGGAGCTGGCATGCAGTTACTCAGCTGCATGCAGAGGGGTGAAGTGGGCATGCAGGTCACCTCCACACACAGGTTCCTGTCGTCAGAGCCAGAGGGCTCAGACCAGAGGCACTCACCAGCCCTTCTACACAGGTGACTGGGGCTTGTCAGCTCCTGGCACACTGAAGGCCCTTCAGGGCACCATCCCCCTTGTGCCCTACACCGGTCACTGTGAGGGGCTTCAACAGATTCACCTCCCAAAGCCATCAGCTAGGTGACGGCGCTCCCCACTCCAGGCTTACGCGGCTCTCGGCTGGCAGCCAGGGTGAGGGCAGAGGGGAAGGCCGGCCTGACTCTTGACTCTGGGCAACGCTAGCCTTTCCCTGGGTCTAGACCCTTCGAAGCTCTGTCTCCCGACCATCAGCCACTTTGCCCAAACTGGACGCCAGGCAAGGCCGGCCCCTCTTCCTGGGGCATCCAGGACTCACCTTAGTGCCTGGCAACACCTGGGCCCTCTGGGGGGGTCCTGGCCGTTCAGGGGGACTGGATTGGGCTGCCCTGAGCATGAGGAAAGGCAGAGGGGTGAGGACCCCATCTCAGACCCTGCTGGCCACCCATCAGCCACCCCTGGGGGAGGTTAGCCCTGAGTAGCCCTTTTGGAGAGCAGCTTTGTGTGGGGGAGAAGCTGGCCAGCCTGAGGGAGGGACCCCTGACCCCGCCCTGGAGCCCTGGGAGAAATGGTCCCAGCACCCTAGCTGTCCCACGGGGGGTCCACCTGAGAGGCCAAGAGTCATAGGGTGCATGTAAGGAAGGTGGTGATCAGCAAGTTCAGGGACTGGGGCTCAGAAGCAGTGGCAGGTAGGGCAGGCTTCAGAAATCTCCCCAGCTGAAGGACGTGGTTAGCAGGGAAGCGAGGCTTGTACCTGTATTGGCAGCTGGATCCCTTGAGCTGGCAAAGTCGCTGGCGCAGGCGGGCACGGTGCCAGTAACTGGCACCAAGTAGCACTAGGACCAGCAACAGCAGGAGGCTGAGGAGCAGCCCCGTGGTCAGGGAGCTGGTTGCTGTGGGGGGAGGCGGGGTTTAGATGTAGGAGGGAGCAGGGCCAAGGAGTGGAGAGAAGAGGTCAGAGAAGGCAAAGGGCCAGGCAGAGGGCACTGGAAGGGACGAGCCCCTCTGCCCTCCCACTTGCTCTCTCCCAAGCTACCTCGGAGCTGTGTGGTGCAGTCCGGGGGTGCCCAGCCCTCCTCGCAGTGGCAGTGCCTGTTGCTGTCACAGACCTAGAAGGACAGGGTGAGCGATGACGGGCTCTGCGTTCTGGGACCATTTCCCTCCTTCAGTTTTTCAGACTTTCCCACTGGAAGGTGTGCTGGGGATGATGGGAAGAGAGAGCCAGCGCCCAGGAGAGGGAATCTTTATCCATGGCAGAGGAAATGGGGTCAAATGAACACTGTGGGGCATGTTCAGTATGCTAGGCACCGTGCTGGAGGCTTGCATACCCGTCACGCCGGGTAACAGTGCCCAGGAATTGTGCATGATTACTATGCCTACTGATTTATTTATCTGGTACTGGGGAATGAACTCAGGGGCACTCAACTACTGAGCCATATCCCCAGCCCTTGTTTGTATTTGATTTAGAGACAGGGTCTCACTGAGCTGCTTAGCACCTTGCCCTTGCTGAGGTTGGCTTTGAACTTGCGATCCTCCTGTCTCAGTCTCCCAAGCCTCTGGGATTATAGGCATTAATAAGCCACCACACCTGGCTTATTATGCCTAGTTGATGAATAGGAAATTGAGCTCAGAGAGGTCAATAACCTGCCCCAGTCACAAAGCTAGAAAGTGGCAGAGCAAAGATTGGAACCTAGGAAATCATTCCTGTCCCTCGTTTTTTAGAGAGTATGTGTGTATGTGTGTGTGTATGTGTGTGTGTGTGTGTGTGTGTGTGTGTGTGTGTGTTGGTCCGGGGGATCAAACCCATGCCCCAGTCACAAAGCTAGAAAGTGGCAGAGCAAAGATTGGAACCTAGGAAATCATTCCTGTCCCTCGTTTTTTAGAGAGTATGTGTGTATGTG